GGTGTCAAGTCCTTTTCCGGGGTTACTTCCCTTCTTCTTTTAATGCCACTAGGACCAGCTTGAGAGTCACTGGACTTCTGTCGCACAACATATCTGTCCATAGAGGCCTGTACCTCTCGTTCCCTTATGACTTTCCTAAAGTGGTTCACAACATTGTCATTGTACAGGTTGCCAACATGGCTTGCAGTAGCTGTCTGAGGGTGATTTTCATCAGAAAAGGTTTGCACTTCAAGCCACATTGCACACATTTCCTTAATCTTTGAAGTAGGCAACTCCTTCAATTTCTCTCTCCCCTCCTCTGAAGTAGTTTCCTCAGGTCTGGCCTCTTGCTGTTGAAGATGATCTAGCAGCTCATCAGTGGTTAGTTCATCATTGTCCTCCTCCACCAACTCTTCCACATCCTCCCCACTAACCTCCAACCCCAAGGACTTCCCCAATGCCACAATGGATTCCTCAACTGGCATACACTTCTCAGGGTTAGCCTCAAACCCTTCAAAATCCCTTTTGTCTACACATTCTGGTCACAGTTTCTTCCAAGCAGAGTTCAAGGTCCTCTTAGTCACTCCCTCCCAAGCCTTACCTATAAGGTTTACACAATTGAGAATATTAAAGTGACCCTTCCAAAACTCTTTTAGAGTCAATAGAGTTTCTGTGGTCACTTCAAAGCACTTTCGAAACAGCTTTTGTGTACAGTTTCTTGAAGTTAGAAATGACCTGCTGGTCCATGGGCTGCAGGAGAGGAGTGGTATTAGGAGGCAAAAACTTGACCTTAATGAAGCTCATGTCCCCAGAAAGTCGCTCTGCCAAGTCTGTAGGATGACCAGGGGCATTGTCTAATACCAGGAGGCACTTAAGGTCTATTTTCTTTTCAATTAGGTAATTTTTCACATTGGGGGCAAATGCATGGTGTAACCAGTCATAGAAAAAGTCCCTAGTGACCCATGCCTTACTGTTTGCCCTGCACAGCACACACAAATTAGCCTTGAGGACATTGTTTTGCCTGAACACTCTGGAAGTTTCAGAGTGATACACCAATAAAGGCTTCACTTTGCAATCACCAATAGCATTGGCACACATCAGAAGAGTAAGCCTGTCTTTCATAGGTTTATGTCCTGGGAGTGCCTTTTCCTCCTGAGTAATGTAGGTCCTGCTTGACAATTTCTTCCAAAACAGGCCTGTTTCATCACAATTAAACACTTGTTCAGGTTTCAATTCTTCACTGTCTATGTAATCCTTGAATTCCTTCACATATTTTTCAGCTGCTTTTTGGTCCGAACTGGCAGCCTCACCATGCCTAATCACACTATGTATGCCACTACGATTCTTAAACCTTTCAAACCAACCTTTGCTGGCCTTAAATTCACTCACATCACCACTAGTTGCAGGCAATTTCTTTACCAAATCGTCATGCAACTGCTTAGCCTTTTCACAAATAATCGCTTGAGAGATGCTATCTCCTGCTATCTGTTTTTCATTTATCCACACCAATAACAGTCTTTCAACATCTTCTAACACTTGCGGTTGCTGTTTCGTAATCACAGTTGCACCTTTTGCAACAACAGCTTCCTTGATTGCCGTTTTCCTGGTCACTATAGTAGCGATGGTTGATTGGGGTTTTGTATACAACCTGGTCAGCTCCAACACACGCACTCCACTTTCGTACTTTGCAGTTATCTCTTTCTTCATTTCAATAGTCATTAGCACCCTTTTTCTCCAAGGGTTGGCACTAGAAACTTTCTTGGGGCCCATGGTGACTTATTTTGCAGAAACAAGCACCAAAAACACTGTGGTAATATGGAATGTACCGAATGTATCCTTAGATGCGAGCACACTGGCTGGCTTGTGAACACTGGCACACACGGGGCAGTTCAGGCCACACGTGGACATGTCTCGGACGAATCGCATATGGCGGGTTTTTTAACGGTAACTGAGGCAAAATTTTTGCGTCAAAATGTATTGAATGCCGGATTTATTGGATACCGATGCCATCGCAAACCGGGGGTCCACTGTATTTGACTTTTTATTGTTTTTAATGTCTATTTCTATTTCTAACTTAACACACGTTAATGTAAACTTGTTATCCAGCATTTATATGCATTTATAAGTGGACAAAAATGGCGTTCTGCTTTCCGGTGATGTCCGATTTCCGGCGGTAGCCTGGAACCTAACCTGCCATATAAGTACATGCAAAACAACCACAGGTAGAGTTGAATATCTCTAGGCCTTTTTTGTTGCAATCAAATTATCAGGAGCTTGCACTGTTGCAGAAATAAGAAGGAAGTCAAGCTCCTGATCTGTTGATTGCAATACAAAAGGCCTAGAGCTATCATTCAACTCCCACTGCACTTGTTTTGCATCTTGTGTCGTTTGTTCACGATTATTGCTCTCATGCATAGTTTTTTTTTTTCAACAAGTCGGCCGTCTCCCACCGAGGCATTGTGACTCGAAAAAGAAAGAAAATACGTTCATCATCATTCAACACTTTTACCTCACTCACACATAATCACTGTTTTTGCAGAGGTGCTCAGAATACAACAGTTTAGAAGCATATACATATAAAGATTGAACATTAAAATGGTATAAAATACCGACAGGTTGTTAGGTAAGACACATATGCAACAGTTAGGTATCTTTATTATGAAACGTTTCGCCTACACAGTAGGCTTCTTCAGTCAAGTACAGAAAAGTTGATAGAAGCAGAAGATACTTGAAGACGATGATATTGTTTCATACTATGGAACAATGCTCTTCTCCAGACTGAGGGACTGACCACCTCAAAACTTTAAGGGTGATGGACTGATTACATCGTCTTCAAGTATCTTCTGCTTCTATCAACTTTTCTGTACTTGACTGAAGAAGCCTACTGTGTAGGCGAAACGTTTCATAATAAAGATACCTAACTGTTGCATATGTGTCTTACCTAACAACCACATATAAAGATACACAACATATCCCTCCAAACTGCCAATATCCCAAACCCCTCCTTTAGAGTGCAGGCATTGTACTTCCCACTTCCAGGACTCAAGTCTAGCTATATAAAAATAACCGGTTTCCCTGAATCCCTTCACTAAATATTACCCTGCTCACACTCCAACAGCTCGTCAGGTCCCAAATACCATTCGTCTCCATTCACTCCTATCTAAGACGCTCACGCACGCTTGCTGGAAGTCCAAGCCCCTCGCCCACAAAACCTCCTTTACCCCCTCCCTCCAACCTTTTCGAGGACGACCCCTACCTCGCCTTCCTTTCCCTACAGATTTATACACACTCCATGTCATTCTACTTTGATCCATTCTCTCTAAATGACCAAACCACCTCAACAACCCCTCTTCAGCCCTCTGACTAATACTTTTATTAACTCCACACCTTCTCCTAATTTCCACACTGAATTTTCTGCATAATATTTACACCACACATTGCCCTTAGACAGAACATCTCCACTGCCTCCAACCGCCTCCTCACTGCAGCATTCACAACCCAAGCTTCACACCCATATAAGAGTGTTGGTACTACTATATTTTCATACATTCCCTTCTTTGCCTCCATAGATAACGTTTTTTGTCTCCACATACTATACCTCAATGCACCACTCGCCTTTTTTCCTTCATCAATTCTATGATTAACCTCATCCTTCATAAATCCATCCGCTGACACGTCAACTACCAAATATCTGAAAACATTCACTTCTTCCATACTCCTCCCCAATTTAATATCCACTTTTTCTTTATCTAAATCATTTGATACCCTCATCACCTTACTCTCTATGTTCACTTTCAACTTTCTACCTTTACACACATTCCCAAACTCATCCACTAACCTTGGCAATTTTTTTTTTAGAATCTTCCATAAGCACAGTATCATCAGCAAAAAGTAACTGTGTCATTTCCAATTTTGTATTTGATTCCCCATAATTTAATCCCACCCCTCTCCCGAACACCCTAGCATTTACTTCTTTTACAACCCCATCTATAAATATATTAAACAACCATGCATATATATACTGTATATATATTTTTTTTCCAACTGGCTGTATATATGTATATATATATTCTCCATGGGGAAGTGGAACAGAATTCTTCCTCCATAAGCTGTGTGTGTCGTAAGAGACGACTAACATGCCAGAAGCAAGGGACTAGTAACCTCCTTTTGTGTACATTACTAAAGTTAAAAAGAGAAACTTTCATTTTTCTTTTTGATCCACCCTGCCTTGGTGCGCCACCCTGCCTCGGTGCGCCACCCTGCCTCGGTGCGCCACCCTGCCTCGGTGGGCCGCCCTGCCTTGGTGGGATACTGCTGGTTTGTTGAAAAAAAAAAAAATACAGCCTCTCCTCACTTAGCGATGTACTCATTTACCGACGACTCGGACTTACAGCGGGCGCTCTGACCAGTATGCATACCTAAATAATGTATATTAGAGCTGATATCCTCCATTCTGTTAATTACAGTTAACTGTACACTACTGTATAAACATTTAAATTTTTTTTATTTATTAACACACTGGCCGATTCCCACCAAGGTAGGGTGGCCCGAAAAAGAAAAACTTTCACCATCATTCACTCCATCACTGTCTTGCCAGAAGGGTGTTTTACACTACAGTTTTTAAACTGCAACATTAACACCCCTCCTTCAGAGTGCAGACACTGTACTTCCCATCTCCAGGACTCAAGTCCGGCCTGCCGGTTTCCCCGAATCCCTTCGTAAATGTTACTTTGCTCACACTCCAACAGCACGTCAAGTATTAAAAACCATTTGTCTCCTTTTTAAAAATATACCAAAAAATTTATAAATGGTGCAAAGGTGACATTACAACAATATCATAGATGGTTGACACAAATCCACTACCATTATAGTATGCTCCTCACTTAGTGATAAAGTCGTTTAACGACATGGTCTTAGGAACGGAACTCCGTCGTTAAGTGAGGAGAAGCTGTATATACAGCCTCTCCTCACTTAAAATAAATTTGTTTCCCCAGTATTCTAATATACAATTTTTTCTTCAGATTGGCTTCCTGTTGGGCAGCTGTGGTGTGTCTGTGGCACTCACCTCAGAAGCCTGTTTCAAAGGGATTCCCAAAACAAGTGCTGGGGAAGTGGTATCCTTCAAAGGGTGGCCTAAGCTCACTTGGTTCATCACCGACCACTTACCTAAACCTCCGAAGGACTGGCAGACTCCACCTAGACACTCCGATGACACTGCAGCTTATATTGAAGTAAGTGTATAGCAACTTTACAGTTATAGATAAGGTTTTAAAAGTTTCTAACCAAGGCTCACTGGAAAAATTTAGATTTAGAAAGGCTTTAGGAAAGTTCTGGTTTGGTAATAGAGTTGTGTATGAGTGGAACAAACTACCAAGTAACATCACTGAAGCCAAAACCTTGTGTAGCTTTAAAAATAGCATAAACAAATACATGAGTGGGTGTGGCTTGGAGTTACCTAGCATGGGCCAGTAGGCCTGCAGCAGTGCTCCTTCTTTCTTATATTCTTATGCAAAACAACCACTGTGAGAAAATAGTGAAATTCCAAGCATTTTTGTGATTTCTCACTATTACAACCCAGGAATTATCAAGGACCTGTAGCAATGTTCTTATAAGAAGGCTGGAGCACTTTTAGGAGGACTACTGGCCCATGTATGCAACACCTGGGAAATGGAAATGTTTTCCAGCCAGTGGCTTCCTCAGTCCTAATACACAGTAACTAAGAAAAGAGTGTCTAGTTGCAGGAGTCAGGTGGAAGAGGGTGGTGGTGTAGGCCTGGTCGCAGACCAGGCTATGGGGGGGTTGACCCCCGAAACCCCCTCCAGGTATACTCCAGGTGGTGGTGGTGGTGGTGGTGGTAGTAGTAGTAGAAGTTGTAGTTATTTTTGCTTTTGTTGTTTTGTTCAATTGTGGTGAGATGAGTTGGGTTAGAGAAGGATCCGTCAACATCATGTTACAGCAGTCTCCAGAATGGGTAATATACGGTTGATTAGCAATTTGGATATAGTGTAACTTCCAGACTTTTGATGGATAGTGTTACTGACAGCAGTTATGGCAGCCTCTGTACACTTTTACTATCTTAAATCTTCTTCCTTGATGACTATACTGGCCTCGCTGAATTTTATGAGGTGTCCAACATCGTCCCTGCATTGAACACGCATTTCTATGGTCATCACAGTTGCAAGCATTTTTGTGTTCCCTGATCCTAATATCCAGAGATCTGGCTGTTTCTCCCAAATATACTTTGTCACACCCCCCTTAATTTATTAATTAAAGTTTATCATAGGTATGTATGTATGTCACCCTGCCTCGGTGGGAGACGGCCAACTTGTTGAAAAAAAAAAAAAGTATGTAAACAAAAAATGACTTATATATAGGGTTGGGACCCATCCATGCTTTTTGGGTATCCATGGTAAGTCTTGGAACGTATCCCTCGCAGATATGGGGGGACTACTGTAATAATAACTAATATTGCTAATTTTCCCACATACAGTATTGTACAGACAAGGACGGCTCGGTGAAGGGCGTAGTGGTGACGAGGACGGCCATGTTGGCCCACTGTCGCACCCTCACGTCGGCCTGTAACTACACTGAGGGTGAGGTGGCCGTCTGTGTCCTTGACTTCAAGCGTGAGGTGAGCAACTTCATGTTGACGTTGACTTGCAAATTGATGTTGAAAACTGGAGGTCTTAGGGAAAACCAGCTGTGAGAGCGAATACAGTACCTTCTAGACAGATAATACAATACCTTTTAAGGGGCTAATGCAATGCCTTTTAGAGGGATAATACAATAGCTTTTAAAGGGCTAATACAACCTTTTAGAGGGATAATACAACCTTTTAGAGGGATAATGCAATACCTTTTAGAGAGATAATACAATACCATTTAAAGGGCTAATACAACCTTTTAGAGGGATAATACAGTACTTTTTAAAGGGATAATATAATACCTTTTAAAGGGATAATACATTATTTTTAGAGGGATAATACAGTACCTTATAAAGCTCCCATTGTCAACTCTTATAAAGCTCCTCCCATTGTCAACTCTTATAAAGCTCCTCCCATTGTCAACTCTTATAAAGCTCCTCCCATTGTCAACTCTTATAAAGCTCCTTTTGTCATCAGCTCTTGTACAGCTCCTTCCATCATCAACTCTTATCAAGCTCTTCCCATTGTCAGCTCTCTTATAAAGCTCTTCCCGTCATCATCTCTTATAAAGCTCTCGGATTGAATTTAGTTTTTTGTATATTTGATTGAAAAACTTCATCCAGAATTGAGTAGCATCTATCTAGCTTCTAAACAGATGATGCTAAATCTACCTAGCATCGGGACAGATGATGTTAGATCTACCTAGCATCGGGACAGATGATGTTAGATCTACCTAGCATCGGGACAGATGATGTTAGATCTACCTAGCATCGGGACAGATGATGTTAGATCTACCTAGCATCGGGACAGATGATGTTAGATCTACCTAGCATCGGGACAGATGATGTTAGATCTACCTAGCATCGGGACAGATGATGTTAGATCTACCTAGCATCGGGACAGATGATGTTAGATCTACCTAGCATCGGGACAGATGATGTTAGATCTACCTAGCATCGGGACAGATGATGCTAGATCTACCTAGCATCGGGACAGATGATGTTAGATCTACCTAGCATCGGGACAGATGATGTTAGATCTACCTAGCATCGGGACAGATGATGTTAGATCTACCTAGCATCGGGACAGATGATGCTAGATCTACCTAGCATCGGGACAGATGATGTTAGATCTACCTAGCATCGGGACAGATGATGTTAGATCTACCTAGCATCGGGACAGATGATGTTAGATCTACCTAGCATCGGGACAGATGATGTTAGATCTACCTAGCATCGGGACAGATGATGTTAGATCTACCTAGCATCGGGACAGATGATGTTAGATCTACCTAGCATCGGGACAGATGATGTTAGATCTACCTAGCATCGGACAGATGATGTTAGATCTACCTAGCATCGGGACAGATGATGTTAGATCTACCTAGCATCGGGACAGATGATGCTAGATCTACCTAGCATCGGGACAGATGATGCTAGATCTACCTAGCATCGGGACAGATGATGCTAGATCTACCTAGCATCGGGACAGATGATGCTAGATCTACCTAGCATCGGGACAGATGATGCTAGATCTACCTAGCATCGGGACAGATGATGTTAGATCTACCTAGCATCGGGACAGATGCTGCTAGATCTACCTAGCATCGGGACAGATGATGCTAGATCTACCTAGCATCGGGACAGATGATGCTAGATCTACCTAGCATCGGGACAGATGATGCTAGATCTACCTAGCATCGGGACAGATGATGCTAGATCTACCTAGCATCGGGACAGATGATGTTAGATCTACCTAGCATCGGGACAGATGATGCTAGATCTACCTAGCATTGGGACAGATAATGCTAGATCTATCTATCATCTTGAGAGATGATGCTAAATATATCTAGCACCTTGATAGATGATGCTAGATCTATCTGGCATCTAAAGAGATGATCCTAGATCTATCTAGCATCTAGATAGATTCTAGATCGACCTAACATCTAAATTGATTGTAGATCGATCTAACATCTAGATAGATAATGCTAGATCTATCTAGTATCATCTAGCATGTATCTGGATGCTAGATGATGCTAGATCTATCTAGTATCATCTAGCATGTATCTGGATGCTAGATAGATGATGCTAGATCTATCTAGCATTATCTAGCATGTATCTGGATGCTAGATAGATGATGCTAGATCTATCTAGCATCATGTATCTGGATGCTAGATAGATGATGCTAGATCTATCTAGCATCATCTACAATTTAGTTCCTGCTGTTCAATTGTGAATCAACTGTTTAAAATGAAAATGTATATTTCCTTGCAAAGTTTACATATTATAAAATATTAATTACAATGTGTGGTTTACATGGTATAAAATATTAATAACAAAGAAGGCCACTAGTATGCCTAGGCATTTTGGGCAGACTAATACTGATTCTTACTCTTTATTGACACAGGTTGTGTAGCAGTACATTTTAATATACATTATTAGATAAATACATAATTAGATTTATAATAGTGAGGTAGTATAAAACATATAATAATATTACAATAACAACACTGCGACTAGCCGAGGACTTGAACCCATGCTGCTTTGGCCTGCTTCATGGTGGGCGAAAGCTCAGTTCCGCTGGGTGCGCTGCTCTTAAGGATTGTATGGTCCATCATGAGTTTTCACCCACCATGAGGCAGGCCAAAGTAGCATGGGTTCGAGTCCTTGGCTAGTCGCAGTGCTGTTATTGATCGATACCACTCGTTCGTGGGCACAATAATAATATTACAAATGGTAAATTTAGTAATGAGAATGATTAAGTCTTGGCATGATACACCGTTTGTGTTAAAACTCGTATATTGGGAGAGTATCTTAGGCAAACTTGGGAATAACTTAAGATTTATTATGCGGTAATTATATTAGGAATTTTATGTTTACAGTCATTTGGGCGAGTGTAAGTGTAAATTAGGGGGAATTACAGATAATGAGGGTAAGACTATATTGTTTTGGATGTTGTCATGATACAAAAAAAGAAAATTTGGTGATTTTCATTTGGTTAGCTATTAATGGGGTGTGTTAAGCAGATAAGATGTTTCTTTAATGGTAGTTTTGAAAATGGTGGTTGAGTCTGCGGTTCTAGAGTTTTCAGGCAGGGAGTTCCAGATTATAGGCTCTCTTATGTACATCAAATTTTTGTAGAGGTTTAGCCGGACATGAGGAATGTCAGAGATTTTTGTGTCTGGTATTGTCTACGGGTCCTGTTGCAACTATCAAGAAAGTGTTTTAGTTCAGGGTTAATATTAAAATTTATGGTTCTGTAAATGTAGGTTGCACAGTAGTACCACAGTCGACCAAAAATCAATGCACTTATGGAAAGACGATGATCGAGTGAGTGATGGTGAATGTGTCTTCTTCCCTGGGGTCACCATGCTGTTTTTAAAATGTAGTCATTGCATTTCTTGGAGTTTTTTTAAAACCATAGTTGTGTTCTTTAGACATTCTGAAAACAATCATTGTGTTCCTCTGAGGTTTTTAAAATAATCGGTGTTCCTTGCAGATTTTTAAAACAATCATTGTGTTCCTTGGAGGTTTTTAAACAATTGTTGTGTTCCTTGGAGTTTTTTAAAACAATTGTTGCATTCCCCATAGGTTTTTAAAACAATCATTGTGTTCCTCTTAGGTTTTTAAAACAATCGTTCTGTTCCTCAGAGGTTTTTAAAACAATCGTTCTGTTCCTCAGAGGTTTTTAAAACAGTCATTGTATTCCTTGCAGGTTGGACTGTGGCATTCCATGTTGTGTTCAGTGTTCAATGGCATGCACGTCATCTTCATCCCGTACTCCGTCATGAAGGTGAACCCAGCCTCCTGGATGCACATGATCACTAGATTTAAAGGTATGTTGGGGGTTCTGTGAGCGGCGCCTCGTTGAACACTGGTGTAGGGCACAGCCTCATTGAACACCAGAGTAGGGCACAGCCTCGTTGAACACCAGTGTAGGGCACAGCCTCGTTGAACACCAATGTAGGACACAGCTTCGTTGAACACCAGTGTAGGGCACAGCCTTGTTTAGCACCAGTGTAGGGCACAGCCTTATTGAACACCAATGTAGGGCACAGCCTCGTTGAACACCAATGTAGGGCACAGCCTTGTTGAACACCAGTGTAGGGCACATCTTCATTGAACACCATTGTAGGGCACAGCCTTGTTGAACACCAATGGAGGGCACAGCCTCATTAAACACCAGTGTAGAGCAGTCTTGTTCAGCTAAGTTTAACAGCAGATATACTAAGTTCCACAGCAGGTTTACTAAGTTCCACAATGAGTTAAGTTTCACAACAGATTTACTAAGTTCATTGACAGGTTTGCTTAGAAACACATTAGTGTTTGCAAGTTCAGATGTTTGAAGTTTACACAGGGTGAAGCATAAAGCTCTACACAGGGTGAAACAAAGCTCTACACAGTGTGAAACAAAGCTCTACACAAGGTGAAACATAAAGCTCTACACAGTGTGAAACAAAGCTCTACAGAGTGTGAAACAAAGCTCTACACAGGGTGAAGCATAAAGCTCTACACAGTGTGAAACAAAGCTCTACACAGTGTGAAACAAAGCTCTACACAGGGTGAAGCATAAAGCTCTACACAGGGTGAAACAAAGCTCTACACAGTGTGAAACAAAGCTCTACACAGTGTGAAACAAAGCTCTACACAGGGTGAAGCATAAAGCTCTACACAGTGTGAAACAAAGCTCTACACAGTGTGAAACAAAGCTCTACACAGGGTGAAGCATAAAGCTCTACACAGGGTGAAACAAAGCTCTACACAGTGTGAAACAAAGCTCTACACAGTGTGAAACAAAGCTCTACACAGGGTGAAGCATAAAGCTCTACACAGGGTGAAACAAAGCTCTACACAGTGTGAAACAAAGCTCTACACATGGTGAAACAAAGCTCTACACAGGGTGAAACAAAGCTCTACACAGGGTGAAGTGTAAGGCTCTACACAGTGTGAAACATAAAGCTCTACACAGGGTGAAACCTAAAGCTCTACACAGGGTGAAACATGATAAAGCTCTACACAGGGTGAAACACGATGAAGCTCTACACAGGGTGAAACACGATGAAGCTCTACACAGGGTGAAACACGATGAAGCTCTACACAGGGTGAAATGACGAAGGTGTACACAGGGAGAAACGATACAGCTCTACACAGGATGAAACATGATAAAGCTCTACAGAGTGTGAAACATGATAAAGCTCTGCAGAGTGTGAAACATGATAAAACTCTACAGAGTGTGACATTTGACTTGATAAAGCTCTACACATCAAAACTTATCTCGACAACACTTTCCAAAAGTTGAACTCACTCCCATACATTGTACTTCTGTGTGTCCTCCATGTGTAGATGTGACAACTGCTAACCTTACTCCTCCATGTGTACATGAGATGTTTTCATTCACTTGCAGCCAGTATTGCCATAGTGAAGTCACGGGACCTCCACTGGGGACTGCTAGCCACCAAAGACCACAAGGACGTTAGTCTTCAATCGTTGCGACTGTTGCTGGTGGCGGATGGTGCCAATCCGTGGTCGCTGTCGTCATGCGACCAGTTCCTGGCAGTCTTCCAGAGCAAAGGTTTACGACCAGATGCTATCTGTCCGTGTGCGTCTTCCCCCGAGGCTCTCACCGTCTCTATCAGGAGGTAAATAGTGTCACCCATGTTCACTCACCTCACGAAACTAATATTACTAGAAATATTATTATTACTAGAAATATTATTACTACTACAGGTCAGCCATCACTAATCCAGCAATCAGTAATCCGACACTAATTTCGACTAGCATAATCTCAAATTTCTGGGATCGCCACACCAACCAGCTGCTACTGTTTGGTGGCGCTACTTGCTGCATAAGTTATTCCAATTTATTTTTCTCCATTTATTGCTATAACCTGCTTACTTTTACCCTAGCCATGGTTCCAACGAATAAAAGAAATGCTCCTCATTGTGTAAAGCACATACACTGTACATTGTCCATAAAAGATAAGGTGGCTTTGAAGCCACTGTCGGTCAGTCGCCATGAGCTCAGTTCTCTCAGATAAGCTGTGACCGGTGAATTTGGACCTACATATGGAAGAATAGGTCTGTGTGGTTATCTGGAGGTTATTCCGGGGATCAACGCCCCCGCGGCCTGGTCCATGACCAGGCCTCCCGATTGATCAGGGCCTGATCAACTAGGCTGTTACTGCTGGCCGCATGCAGTCCAACGTACGAGCCACAGCCCGGCTGATCCGGCACAGAGTGTGTATACAAAAAAAAAAAAAATCCTTCAGCTTGCAGTGCATGAGAAAAAACTGCAACTGTGTTTTTGGTGTAAAACAGTGACTTTAGTGTATTTTCATGTGATTTTTATGGTTGTATTCTCAGTTTTTTTTTGGTCTCATTTGATAGAATGGAAGATATTTTACAGAAATAGTTATGATTTTGATTGGTTTCACGAAGGAAAGTAGCGGAAATGTTCGATTTTTGCCCATGTTCAAGAATAAACAAAGGACGTCACCGTCCAATGCGGGTCCAGCTGGCCAGTCTAATACGCAGTCATGAATAGATTGACATTATTTATGTAATTATTACAATAATGCAATAGTCTACATAGCAGTAAATCTTCTGTTTGTTGTATGAATAAAAATTCAAAAGGGAAAGCAAGAGTAATATAAGAGGGGCCTGGAGACATGACTAATGAACAGAGAAAATGTTATTTTAGTGCCAGGAATGTCTGCTTTGTTTATTCTGGACACTATTTTGAAACTGGCATCTGTTGAAATTTGTGTGAAAATGGCCAAATTACCAATTTCTGACCACCTTATTGGGTAGTTGAAACAGGTAAATGGGCAGTTTCTTGTACTCAGTCAACATAATAGAAGGTATACTAGCGAAATAGCTATGAGTTTAGTAGACTGGAACAGTGGAATAAGCCAAAAGTAGGGCGTAAAGTGGGTGAAATTGTCATTGCATAAATATTGCCATTGGGTTAAGTGTACGGGAGGCCCTCCACATTTGTGAGGTTTAGGGGATCAAGACCCTCATGAATCTTGAAAATTTGCGAATGTTTGGTGCGCATATATAATGTTGATGAAGATAGGGAAGCTGTGATTTCGTGTATAGGGCAAGGAGGAATAACATCTTGTAGGAGTGAGGAAGAGCCAGTTGTGAGTGTGGGGGAAGTTCGTGAGGCAGTAGGTAAAATGAAAGGGAGTAAGGCAGCCGGGATTGATGGGATAAAGATAGAAATGTTAAAAGCAGGTGGGGATATAGTTTTGGAGTGGTTGGTGCAATTATTTAATAAATGTATGGAAGAGGGTAAGGTACCTAGGGATTGGCAGAGAGCATGCATAGTTCCTTTGTATAAAGGCAAAGGGGACAAAAGAGAGTGTAAAAATTATAGAGGGATAAGTCTGTCGAGTATACCTGGTAAAGTGTATGGTAGAGTTATTATTGAAAGAATTAAGAGTAAGACGGAGAATAGGATAGCAGATGAACAAGGAGGGTTTAGGAAAGGTAGGGGGTGTGTGGACCAGGTGTTTACAGTGAAACATATAAGTGAACAGTATTTAGATAAGGCTAAAGAGGTCTTTGTGGCATTTATGGATTTGGAAAAGGCGTATGACAGGGTGGATAGGGGGGCAATGTGGCAGATGTTGCAGGTGTATGGTGTAGGAGGTAGGTTACTGAAAGCAGTGAAGAGTTTTTACAGGAAAGAAGGAAATTATTTCCCAGTAAAAGTAGGCCTTAGACAAGGATGTGTGATGTCACCGTGGTTGTTTAATATATTTATAGATTGGGTTGTAAGAGAAGTAAATGCGAGGGTCTTGGCAAGAGGCGTGGAGTTAAAAGATAAAGAATCACACATAAAGTGGGAGTTGTCACAGTTGCTCTTTGCTGATGACACTGTGCTCTTGGGAGATTCTGAAGAGAAGTTGCAGAGATTGGTGGATGAATTTGGTAGGGTGTGCAAAAGAAGAAAATTAAAAGTGAATACAGGAAAGAGTAAGGTTATGAGGATAACAAAAAGATTAGATGATGAAAGATTGGATATCAGATTGGAGGGAGAGGGTATGGAGGAGGTGAATGTATTCAGATATTTGGGAGTGGACGTGTCAGCGGATGGGTCTATGAAAGATGAGGTGAATCATAGAATTGATGAGGGGAAAAGGGTGAGTGGTGCACTTAGGAGTCTGTGGAGACAAAGAACTTTGTCCTTGGAGGCAAAGAGGGGAATGTATGAGAGTATAGTTTTACCAGTGCTCTTATATGGGTGTGAAGCATGGGTGATGAATGTTGCAGCGTGGAGAAGGCTGGAGGCAGTGGAGATGTCATGTCTGAGGGCAATGTGTGGTGTGAATATAATGCAGAGAATTCGTAGTTTGGAAGTTAGGAGGAGGTGCGGGATTACCAAAACTGTTGTCCAGAGGGCTGAGGAAGGGTTGTTGAGGTGGTTCGGACACGTAGAGAGAATGGAGCGAAACAGAGTGACTTCAAGAGTGTATCAGTCTGTAGTGGAAGGAAGGCGGGGTAGGGGTCAGACTAGGAAAGGTTGGAGGGAGGGGGTAAAGGAGGTTTTGTGTGCGAGGGGCTTGGACTTCCATCAGGCATGCGTGAGCGTGTTTGATAGGAGTGAATGGAGACAAATGGTTTTTAATACTTGACGTGCTGTTGGAGTGTGAGCAAAGTAACATTTATGAAGGGATTCAGGGAAACCGGCAGGCCGGACTTGAGTCCTGGAGATGGGAAGTACAGTGCCTGCACTCTGAAGGAGGGGTGTTAATGTTGCAGTTTAAACTGTAGTGTAAAGCACCCTTCTGGCAAGACAGTGATGGAGTGAATGATGGTGAAAGTTTTTTTTTTCGAGCCACCCTGCCTTGGTGGGAATCGGCCAGTGTGATAATAAAAAAAAAATATATATAATACTACTGTACTGTAGCCTTCGCAAATGTTTTGATGCGCAAATATGTTGTAGGGAAATATAATACAGTGGTCCCTCGTTTTTCGTAGTTCTCGGGAATCATAGATTTCGGAAATCATAGGGATATTTTCGTATAAACATGGGCTCGCCAATCATAGGTTGACTCGCGAATAGTAGTTCGTCCGAGACGCATACGCATGGTGTGAGCTGGGGCGGCCTCCCTCCCTAGCCAGTCTGGCATTGTTTACCAGTGAACGAAGGTCCCCTCACGTGCTCCTATGAAATATTTCATAATATTTCACTCATTTTAGTGCTTGCAAGTAGTAAATAAGCTACCATGGCTCCAAAGAAAGCTCCTAGTGCCAAGCTTGGAGAAAATTGTGGCCAGATTGTGTTGACAAGAGGGATTTTGAAGGGTTTGGGACTGACCCTATGCCTATGCCTGTTGTTAAATCAATTGTGGCACTGGGGAGTTCCATGGGGTTGGATGTGAGTTTGGAGGATGTGAAAGAGTTGGTGGAAGACCACAACGAAGAGCTTCAGCAGGAACAGCAACAGATCGCAGCTCAGAATCTTGCTGCAGAGGAGGAGGAAGAGAGATGGAAGAAGGTGCCTTCTTCAGAAATTAAAGAGATTTTTGCTGTGTGGGGTAAGATGGAAAGCTTTATGGAGAAACATCACCCTGACAAGGTTGTTGCAAGCCATGTTGGCAACATGTACATTGACAAAGTCTTGGGCCATTTTAGGGAAGTGTTAAAGAGACGCCAGAAACAGAGCTCTCTCCACAGTTATTTTGCGAGACAGGACTTCAGTGACTGTCAAGGTGGTCCTAGTGGCATTAAGAAACAGAGAAGAGAAGCAACCCCAGAAAAGCAATTGGTACCCGAGGTGTTGATGGAAGGGGATTTCCCTTCCAAACTGAAAACAATCCAATCTCTCTCCTCCTCCAGTCTCCCATACACTAAGAAGAATCTCCAATAAAGGTAAGTGTTATGCTGTTAATGTTTCATTCATCATTTCCCATTGTATTGTTTATGTACTACATCTATATTTCATGTAAAATTTTTTTTTTGTTTTAATACTTCTGGGTGTCAGGAACGGATTAATTGTATTTACATTATTTCTTATGGGGAAAATTGATTCGAAAATAGTAGATTTCGATAATAGTAGCAACTCCAGGAACGGATTAACTACGAAAAACGAGGGACCACTGTATAGCATTTACTTAGCCTAACAATACTGCTTCCCTAACCTATTGAACCTCGAACAATCATAAAACACATGAAAACATGAAAACTGGGCAATCACGAATGTTCGAAGCTTGTGAAAGTGGAGGGCTAGCTGTATTCAAACCTAACCACTCTGTAATCTGGCACCCTACAAATCCCAATGGTGCCAGATTAGTGATAATCAACCTCTACAAATATTATTGCTAGACATATTCAGTAATCTCTGGGAACTTTATTGCTAGAAAGGTTCAATAAAATACTTTGATAAAAATCATTATATTTTCCAGGAAACTAAATTTATATCATAGTGAAAATGTGTATCTCAGTCTATTAGAAATATTTTTTGGAAAAGTCCAATTTTGAAGGACTTGGATGTACTTGGCAAATTGTGTTTATTAGTAATGACGCATGCACACACACACTCACACACACACACACACACACACATACACATACACACGCACGCACGCTACAGGAATTTACATACATGTAGAATTGCAAAATGTGTGGAGAAACACTATTATAAATTGTAGAGCTCTTAGGTCTCCTGTAGCTCTTGGATTGTTGGCAGGGAATGCAAGAAGGAGCAGGTGTTCCCTCTCTGGATGGCTACACTGAGGAGCTGGAAGAGAAAAGTTGCAACCCCTGGGTCTCTGGTGGGTTCCACCTCCTTGAGGGAACCCATGGCAGGGTTTCACCAGGAGCCCAGGGTTCCTCATCCTGTAGTGATGATGTAATATTGGTGCTTCACATATTTGTATATGCACACATAAACATACATAGTACTCTCAATTCTCATATAAAGCTCTTCCATATATAGTTGGCTTTTATAAAGCTCTATATATTCAGTTCTTATAAAGCTCCTCTATATACAGTCAGCTCTTGTATAAAGTTCCTCTGTATACAGTCAGTTCTTTTATAAAGCTCCTCTATACAGTCAGTTTTTGTATAAAGCTCATCTATATAGTCAGTTCTTATAAAGCTCCTCTATATACAGTCAGTTCTCTTATAAAGCTCCTCTATATACAGTCAGTTCTCTTATAAAGCTCCTCTATATACAGTCAGTTCTCTTGTAAAGCTCCTCTATATACAGTCAGTTCTCTTGTAAAGCTCCTCTATATACAGTCAGTTCTCTTGTAAAGCTCCTCTATATACAGTCAGTTCTCTTGTAAAGCTCCTCTATATACAGTCAGTTCTCTTGTAAAGCTCCTCTATATACAGTCAGTTCTCTTGTAAAGCTCCTCTATATACAGTCAGTTCTCTTGTAAAGCTTCTCTATATACAGTCAGTTCTCTTGTAAAGCTCCTCTATATACAGTCAGTTCTCTTGTAAAGCTTCTCTATATACAGTCAGTTCTCTTTTAAAGCTCTCTATAATACAGTCAGTTCTCTTATAAAGCTCCTCTATATACAGTCAGTTCTCTTATAAAGCTCCTCTTATACAGTCAGTTCTCTTGTAAAGCTCCTCTATATACAGTCAGTTCTCTTATAAAGCTCCTCTATATACAGTCAGTTCTCTTATAAAGCTCCTCTATATACAGTCAGTTCTCTTATAAAGCTCCTCTATATACAGTCAGTTCTCTTGTAAAGCTTCTCTATATACAGTCAGTTCTCTTGTAAAGCTCCTCTATATACAGTCAGTTCTCTTATAAAGCTCCCTTATAGTTAGTTCTTTTATAAAGCTTCTCTAAATACAATTAGCTTTTATAAAGCTCTTCAGTATAATCATTTACAAGAAAAACAGAAGTTTTATCAGTGGGTTAGCGAAGGTTGAATAAAAAATAACACTGACAGTTGTTCAGTCAATGGTTTTATTTGAATGTCCTGAATTCTGAAACTTGAGTAAGACATGATTTCAGTGAATGAATAAAACATGATTTCTGTGAATGAGTGAGACATTCATGATTTTAGTGAATAAATAAGATGATTTTTCAGGCCGGGTCATGGAGGGGCCAACGCGGTGGGTCGCGGAGTGTTGAGTATGCAAGGCTTAAGTTTTGGAGTGGTTCGTGTGGACCAGGAGAACTCCCTCACCTCCCTCACACTCCAGGACTGTGGCCAAGTTTTACCAGGAGGTGAGTATATGTTGTACCAGGAGGCGAATATATGTTGTACCAGGAGGCGAGTATATGTTGTACCAGGAGGTGAGTATATGTTGTACCAGGAGGCGAGTATATGTTGTACCAGGAGGTGAGTATATGTTGTACCAGGAGGTGAGTATATGTTGTACCAGGAGGCGAGTATATGTTGTACCAGGAGGTGAGTATATGTTGTACCAGGAGGTGAGTATATGTTGTACCAGGAGGTGAGTATATGTTGTACCAGGAGGTGAGTATATGTTGTACCAGGAGGTGAGTATATGTTGTACCAGGAGGTGAGTATATGTTGTACCAGGAGGTGAGTATATGTTGTACCAGGAGGCGAGTATATGTTGTACCAGGAGGCGAGTATATGTTGTACCAGGAGGCGAGTATATGTTGTACCAGGAGGTGAGTATATGTTGTACCAGGAGGTGAGTATATGTTGTACCAGGAGGTGAGTATATGTTGTACCAGGAGGTGAGTATATGAGGTCCAACACAAAAAAACGAGACTGTGCCTGTAACTTTTATTTAACAAATTAAGAAAATCATCTACAATCACCTTCAAAATAGTTCCCTTCTGAGTTGACACACAGCAGCATTCAGTGCTGCCAGTGTTCAAAGCAATTCCACAGATTATTCTCTGCAAGGCTGTTGAGGATCTCAGTCGTTTTTCCTTTCACATCTTCTACCAACAAAAAATGGGTTCCTTTAAACACCGACTTGATCTTTGGAAAGAGGTAGAAGTCACAGAGAGGCAGGTCTGGTGAATATGGTGGGTGCTCAAGCGCAGTGATGGTTTTATCAACTAAAAACTCCTCTTCAAACACAGTTCCCTGTGATGATGTTTTTGTTCATCTGACAGCATTTTTGGAACTATTTTTGCACAAACATTTCTCATGTTGAATTCTTTCATTAGAATGCATTGAACACTTTCCTTGTCCAGATGAACTTTCTTGGCTACTGCTTTTTGAATCACATCACTCTTTTTGAATCAGTTCTCTCACTTTTTCAATGTTGTCATCAGTAACTGCTGTGTGTGGGCAGCCTGGGTGGTGATCAGCTTTCATGCTTTCACTGGCCTCAGAAAATCATTTGTGCCATTCAGAAACATGCGCACGAGACATGCAATCTTCACTGAAAGCCTCGGTCAATAATTGAAAAGTTTCTGTCGCAGATTTCTACAGTTTCACAAGAAACTTGACGTTAACTCACTGTTCACCTTTGCACTCTGGCATTTTCCAACCAAGGGTAAGAAAATGTCTATATTTGAACATGCATCAATTCGTATTGAGTGAAGCGAACATGTTGAGCCTTGTCTCACTGTGACAGGTTAGAACATGTTCTATAATCATCTCTTTGTCACTCTCCTCCCACTCTTGCTTCCCGAACTACAGGGTTAATCTCATTTTTTTGTGTCAGACCTCGTATGTTGTACCAAGTGGCGAGTATATGTTGGACCTGTTATCCCCTTATTATGCATTGTGTGTGCTATTACTCCATGATTGCACTTGTCGAAGGCTTTTGCAAAGCCTGTATGTACAATATCTGCATTTTGTTTGTCCTCCAGTACATCCAAGACCATGTTATAGTGGTCCAGTAGCTGTGAGAGGCAGGACTGACCATCCAAGACCGTTTCATATTGGTGCAGTAGTTGAGAGGCAGGAGTGACCTGTTCTAAACCTGTGCTGCCCTGGATTGCACAATTGTTGGGTGTCCAAGTGATTGGTGATCTTGTTTATAACTTCATAGCTTTTTTGATATGGGACATTAGTGCTATCAGTCTGTAATTCTTTGCAATTTCTTTACTACCACATTTGTGGAGTGGGGCTATATCCATTGTGACTGTGGGATGACTTCTTCCCCTCCCGTGTCTAGGCTGTGGGATAACCCCCATATCTAGGCTGTGGGATAACCCCCATGTTTAGGCTGTGGGATGACCCCCGTGTCTAGGCTGTAGGATGACCCCCATGTCTAGGCTGTGGGATGACCCTTGCGTCTATGCTGTGGTTGACCCCCGTGTCTAAGCTGTGGGATGATGTGTGTGTCTAGGCTGTGGAGTGACCCCTTTGTATTGGCTCTGGGATGACCTATGTGTCTAGGCTGTGTTATGACCCCCATGTCTAGGTTGTGGGATGACCCTGGTGTCTAGGGCATGGGATGACCCCCATGTCAAGGCTGTGGGATGACCCCCATGTCTAGGCTGTGGGATGATCCGTGTCTAGGCTGTGGGATGACCCCTTTATCTAATTTGTGGGATGAGTCCTGTGTCAAGGCTGTGGGATGTCCCCCTTGTCTAGGCTGTAGGATGACCCCAAAGTCTAGGCTGTGAGATGACCCTCATGTCTAGGCTGTGGGATGACCCTCATGTCTAGGCTCCCTCCCCATAACATACTCAAGACACACAAAAAAGAGCTCTTGCAGTTCTTGATGAACACAGAATTACACATGTGTGATCCTGGGGCAGAGTGCTTGGGCAATGGGCGTATTATAAATTGCTTTTTCGAAGTCCAGCGGTGTTAGGGTTATGCCAAAAATTTTGGAAATATTGACAAGACTTTGGGTCTCGTTCATAAAAAAAAATATTTTGATTGTCAGTCTTGAAACTAATTAACAATTCACTAAACACTGAGTCATATTGAGACTTCAGTATCTCACTCATTTCTTTAGTGTCATTAGTGTAAGTCCCATCTTGTTTAAGCAAGGGCCCAATACTGGATGTGGTTTTTGCCTTGTTTTTGACACTTGAGAGCAAATGTTTTGGATTTCTTTCAGTTTCATTTATGGCTTTTAGCTTCTGTCTGTCCTGGGGTCTGCAAGATTCACTTAACCCTTTCAGTGTGGATTCCATTGTTCTACGGCTTTGAAGTGCGGGTCGGTCCCATAGTTCTTCTTAATGAGATCAGCTCACTCACATTAGCTGTGAACAGTAAATTTGGGCCTAGATATTAGAAAATGGGTCTATAAAAGAAATCCTGCAGTAAGCAGTGCATAAAGGAGGGGGGGGGGGGGAACTGCGACCGTGATTTTGGTTTAAAACGGCTACTTTGCGATATATTTTTGTATGTTTTTTATGGTTGTATTCTCAGTTTCTTGGTCTCATTTGATAGAATGGAAGATATATTACAAAAGCAGAGATAATTTTGATTGGTTTCAGGACTGAAAGAAGATTGAAATTAAGCTCAAAATAGCAGAAACATTTGATTTTTGCCAATATTCCAGAGTACACAGTGACATCACTTGTCCAATAAGTGTCCATGTGTCCAATCTAATATGCTTTTAGGAATTCACTGCATTATTAATGCAATTATTACAGTAATGCATTAGTTTGCATAACAGTAAATTTTTGTAGGAATAGAAATTCTAAATGGAATTCATGTGTAATATTGGAGAGGCCTGGGAAATGTTATTTTAGTGCTAGGAATGTCTGCATTATTTATTCTGGACCTTATTTTGAATTTGGCCAAGATACCAATTTCTGATGACTTAATTCAGTTGAATGGGTGGTTTCTTGTATTCAATCCATAGAATGGAAGGCACACTACTGAAATAACTAAGAATAACTCAGAATTTGGTCTCCTGGAATAATGTAACTGGCCTAAAATCAGACTCGAATTAGGCAAAATCGCCTGTGTAAATATCACCGACACAGCAAAATTTGCAAAAGTGTAATTTTGTCAGTTTTCCATCATATTTGGTACATTTTGTTTTATTACCTTCAGAAAAAGCTTTTTTTTTTATTTTCCAACCCCGAGAGCAAGTTTGAGAACCGGGGTCCCGACGCTCTAAGGGTTAATTTAAGTTCAGTATTTTCTTTCTCCCTAGTCAGTGTTTCCTTCTGTATTCCAGATAATCTAGCCCCCTTGAGAAGATCTCTGATTCTTTGTCTTCACCTGTAAAGTAAGCATTCATTCTCTCTCTCTCTCTCTCTCTCTATATATATATCTCTCTCTCTCTATATCTCTCTCTCTCTCTATATATATCTCTCTCTCTCTCTCTCTCTCTCTCTCTATATCTCTCTCTCTCTCTCTCTCTCTCTCTATATATATATATATATCTCTCTCTCTATATCTCTCTCTCTCTATATCTCTCTCTCTCTATATCTCTCTCTCTCTATATCTCTCTCTCTCTGTCTCTCTCTCTCTATATATCTCTCTCTCTATATCTCTCTCTCTCTATATCTCTCTCTCTCTATATCTCTCTCTATATCTCTCTCTCTCTATATCTATATATATATATATATATATATATATATATATATATATATATATAATATATATATATATATATATATATATATATATATTTTTTTTTTTTTATTATCACACCGGCCGATTCCCACCAAGGCAGGGTGGCCGAAAAAGAAAAACTTTCACCATCATTCACTCCATCACTGTCTTGCCAGAAGGGTGCTTTACACTACAGTTTTTAAACTGCAACATTAACACCCTCCTTCAGAGTGCAGGCACTGTACTTCCCATCTCCAGGACTCAAGTCCGGCCTGCCGGTTTCCCTGAATCCCTTCATAAATGTTACTTTGCTCACACTCCAACAGCACGTCAAGTATTAAAAAACCATTTGTCTCCATTCACTCCTATCAAACACGCTCAAGCATGCCTGCTGGAAGTCCAAGCCCCTCGCACACAAAACCTCCTTTACCCCCTCCCTCCAACCCTTCCTAGGCCGACCCCTACCCCGCCTTCCTTCCACTACAGACTGATACACTCTTGAAGTCATTCTGTTTCGCTCCATTCTCTCTACATGTCCGAACCACCTCAACAACCCTTCCTCAGCCCTCTGGACAACAGTTTTGGTAATCCCGCACCTCCTCCTAACTTCCAAACTACGAATTCTCTGCATTATATTCACACCACACATTGCCCTCAGACATGACATCTCCACTGCCTCCAGCCTTCTCCTCGCTGCAACATTCATCACCCACGCTTCACAACCCATATAAGAGCGTTGGTAAAACTATACTCTCATACATTCCCC